CAGGGGGTTTGCTTTTGGTTCGAAGAGTTGTCACAAAAGGTTGTCTTTGAGTTTGAACAAACTTCTATGTGTGGGGTGTTCTTCAGAATCGAAAGAGGTGAGTGTTTGGGATTCTGGGTTTTGATTTCTCAAGTGTTGATGAACTTGAGAGTTTTGTTGTGTTTGAGAAAATTTGGGAGATTCGTTCCTCTGGTCCAAAGATCCCCCCTAGCTTTGTAAATGTTCCTCTATTTATAGAGAAAGAGTGGACATGTTGTCCAAAGCCAGCCTTGCAAATAAATGATAAAATAATATAACGTGAAAGTACATGTGGGGGGCCTCTTGGCAGTTGGGGTGCAGAAGATGTGACTTATGCTTCTGACGTTGCTTGTGCTCAGACCAAAATCAGGTTGAAAGCTGATTTTGTGACTAAAGTACTCTCTATGAAAGGAAAGAGCATGTAGCCTTTAACCAATAATAGTAGTATCTAAAAGAAAAAGTTTAAAACCCTTGTACGAGCTTCTGACTATGTAAAGATTTGGACGCAACATAGCCTGGCAAACGAGATTTGGTCTTGAGTCAAATGCAAGAATGAGATCGAAGCGCACTTGTTCGAAGGAAGCCTTTGCCTCCGTCGAAGCTTGTGGTCGAAACAAGCTTACTCGAAGGAAGCTAATGCCCTGTCGAAGCTTGGATCGAAACAAACATATTGCCCAATCGAAAGACTGTGTTCGAAGGAAGAAATGTTTCCTAATCGAAGCATGTGGATCGAAACAAACATAAAGGGAGTCATTGCCTTTTAGTGTGAGGGAAGTTCCTGACTTCTGAGTCGAAGGGTGTTCCTTCAAGGGAAGCAAGAACTTAGTCAAATCTTATATGAAGAAATCTCTTGGCTCAAACAAAGCTTGTGAGAGGTAAAGTCTGCAAGAGGCCCTTGGTGCAAGTGGATTCGAAGGAGGTTTCAAATCCAAATGAAGGATGTACCTAAACTTGCATTCGAAGGAGGTTTCAAATCCAAACGAAGGATGTACCTAAACTTGCATTCGAAGGAGGCTTAGAGTCAGTCGAAGGGTGCTAAATCGAAGGAGACATGTTTTCCTCCAAATTTGTCAAAATGTTATTTTTATCTGTTTTCTCCCTTTTTGACAGTTTCCTTTTAATTTTGGTACTGGAAAATTCCAATGCACTTGTGCAAGCTTGAACCTTGAGAATCCTCGTGAGAAAAGCCTTGAAGAATGAGAGGGCAAATTTTGGGGTACAACACTTTGCATGTTTGAAAATGTTTTGAGAATGCCTTAGTACGGCGAACTTTGTAATGTTTTTCAGGATAGTGGAGAAAGTATACAAAGTGTTTTAAAAATATTTTTGAAAAGTAGTATTTGTGTAAATGCAAAATGTTTTGAGAAAACTTCTAACACCTATCTACTTTGTACTCAAAAAATGTTATTCTTTTCCTCCTATCCTTTAGACAGTGTTATCCTATTATTAGTGAGTAGGTAGCTCTATCGTTGGATGTTTGAGGGACAATCGAACATACGTTACAGTCACAAAGGCAACTTGTGGAGACGCTTTAGCAATTTTGTTTAGAGACTAGATCATTTACCGAGAGACAACTGTAGGGTCACCGAGGGACTATGAACTTTTTGATTTACGGGTCTTTGCTAAAGCGTCCCCGTTTCGAGGTACGTGACTTCTTTATTTTCAAAGGCAACCAAAGTGGGGTACCCTAGAGGTGTATATGTGCAATGTGTGTTATATTGAGTTATTTTTTATCTTTTTGTGTTAGGTTTGCTAACGTTTTGTTATTAGTCTTTTCATACATGCCTAGTTACTAGCAGTAAATATGTACAAAATATAGAGTGCAGAAGTATAAACCTACACTATTACATGGCTCTGGGGAGGGGATTTACAATGTACAAAAATTGGGGGAAGAAAAATAAAGAAAGCGGATAAAAGCCTATTAACTATTATATCCAGTGTACAGATACAATAATTAAAAAATATGTAGGAAAATAAATAACGCGCGAAAACTAAAAGTACGTCTAAAAACCTAGTAAGTAAAAATGAAATAAGAAAAAAAATTTTATTGTTCTTTTTTTTTATTTAAGAAAATAATTAAAATTAAATAAAACTAGGTCTGGTTGATTTTAAATATATAAAATAAAATTAAAATAATTAATTTAATTAATTTACAAAATCAAAAATCAATTATAAAACCCTAAGACTAATATTTTTTTATGATTTTTATTTGATTTGAAGTTAATTTAAAATCAATAAAGAAAAGAGTGAAGCAAAGTTAATGATACGAAGAGCCCTCCTTTGATTCAAGGGGAAACGTGACCTTTCGATTTAGGGAAGAATGATGGTTTTCGGTCCATGGGGACAGGCCTTCGATCTTGTGAAGACATATCTTCGATCCAACAGAGAACGTTGTTGGAGGCGCCTGATGACTTTGCCTGTGGAGGAAAGCACTAAAATCTACAAGAAAAAGTGTCAACAATACAAAAGCATGACATGGGCGTGAACCCAGGTCTTTTTTCCAGTTTGACCTCCCATTAATTAGACTTCTTTGAATTCGAATTTGGACTCGTTTTCCTTAGAAAAACCAATGGTCTCTTGGGATTCGATGAAAAGCACATATCGTGCCTTCTATCTTTGTATGTACATGAGACCGTTGTGCTATATTATATCCTGGGCATGAATCTGACACTAGGAAATATGAATATATCATGAAAACAAGAACATGAATTTGAAATTTTACCAAGGATGAGATGCTTTGACTTGGGCGTGAATTGGATAGTATTTGGGAATACTTCCTGCAGACTTCAAGGAATGAATGAAGCGTTGCTGAAAACTCCTTCGATTGGGACCACATATGAGGATTTTGATACCTTTGGGGTGGTTTATGGGGCAGCGTATGCGTGTAAAATAATATGTGTCTCTCCTTCCTGGGCTTATGTTTGTGGTCTCCTTATATAGAGTGGATAGAGGGGACAAGAAGGCAAATGTTTAAATAGTCATAAACAAATGTTTTCAAAGCCATGAATGATGTTTTGTAACGTTGCAAAAGTCATGGAAACTTGTCTCTTTTTTGAATTTTGAATGAACCTGGACATTTTGCCTCCTTCGAATGCCCTCTAGTGTTTCTCTTCGATTGGCCTCAAGTTTACTCCTTCGACTGGCTTTGGTTTCACCCTTATAGTTCCTTCGATTGAGTCAGTCCACCTCAATTCGAATTGCTCAGGTATTGATTCGAATTGTATAAGGCCTCAACATCCTGGCCTCTTTGATCAATCAGCTTCTACATTGATTGCTTGATCTTGTTGATATGCTCATCTAAAGACATCTTTCTCTGATACACCAATCGAAGGATACCTTGTTAACATGTCTTCGAAGTACACCTTATCCTTGCTCTTCGATTGGTCTAAAGTTGTCTCCTTCAAATGACTCAAATTCTCATCATTGGGGCTTCTTCGATTGAGCCCCCTATTTGCCTTAGCTGCTTGATTCGAATAACCCAAAGGAAGACTTCATTATGGCCAAACGAAGCCTCATTTGTCATGAATGTAATGGTGCATGAGGCTTGGGCTGGGCAGCATATAATCCCTTGCCCAGCAAGCAGCTTGAACCAAGCCTCATCAGAAGGCAAAACAAGTTTGTTTCCAACAAATGTGTGTCTTTCGAGCAGACCAAATGTATGTCCTTCGAAGGCACTATTTGTGTGTTCATAATGTGGTAATCTTGTGCTTGTGAAACGAAAGCAGGCATGAAGAGGAAACTTTTTACCTTGAACGAAGCTGACATGCAGGAACCCACTGTTTTGTGGATCAAAGTAAGCATGCAGGAGGTCACTACTAGTGGATCGAAGGGAGCTTGCAGGGGATTCTTGCTTTGTGCGCTGAAGGCACGCACAAAGGGACAATTTGTCTAGTCGAAGCAGGAATCAAGCTTGCTCCAAAGAAATCAAATGCCCAATCGAAGCAAGAATTAAGCTTGCATGCAGGTAGCCATTGCATTATGAATCAAGCCAGCATGTAAAGTCAATGGTGCAATCGAATGATGTATGCAAGAGGCCATTGCTTTGTGCTTGCTGGCATGAAGGAAGTTCCTGCATTGTGAATTGAAGGAAAGCGTAGAGAAGGACCTTCCCTTTTGAATCGAAGGAGGTTGTTTCAAAGGAAACACGTGCCCAATCGAAGCTTGTATACAGGAAACAAGCAAAAGGCCAAGGCTTCAATCGAAGCTTGGAAATTTGAAGCAAGCTTGGAGGAGGTTAGGTGCTCAATCGAAATCTGTCAAGATGCCAATCGAAAGACCCTTTGACATGTCAATCGAAAGACCTTGTTTATCTTCAAAAACTTTTATTTTTTTCTTTAATCAAGTGTTTGTAATCACCTATGTAAGAGAAAAATCTTGGTAAAATATGAGAGGGAAAATTTTGAGGTACAATACCAATGTTGTCGTCGCAAACATTGTTGTTGTTGGGGTCGGCAAGATGGGCGTTTTGGTTATCGTCGACAGCTTGGTCGGGCATGACAATCGTAAGGTTTGATGAAGAGTTGCTTTGATCTTGAGAGGAAGACGGGGAAGCTTGATTTCCACAGACGGCGCCACTGATCGTACCTGATCAGAAGGGATTGTCAAAGCCCATAAGCTTCAAGTCGAGCAGCAATTGAATGTGAAGTGGGGGGCACCTGCAAGACACTCTAATACTAAAGTAAAGTTCAGAGCAAGTGCAAGCAAGTATGAGAGTATGAGTGAATGAACGAATACCTGACCCTCTTAAGTGAGAAGGTATTTATAGCCTCCGATGTTGGGTCAAGGTCCCCATTATTGGGCTGAGCAAGCAGGCCCAAAATGGAGATTATTAGGTCCTATGTGCCTAGTGGGGGCCAGCATGTGGTCTCCAACTTAGATGGATTCCTCCAAATTATCAGGAGGATATGAATTCAGTCTTTTCGGGGTTAAGAGGACTCCGTGACATTCGGAGGTGTTGGGTGTCAGCCCTACGAGGAGGATGCTCACGAGGTCCTCCTGACTGTCGTTGGTCCTCCTCGCCAGTCGTGAGGTTGTTCTCGGAGGGCATATCCTAGTCGACGAGAGGAGTGGACGATGCACGTGAAGAACTCCTGAGCGTCATTGTCCTCCTTACCAGTCATGGGGTTATTCCCGTGAGACAAAGTCTGGCCGACCAGAAGAGTGGAGCCACTATCTGACATGGTCAAGGACAGACTATTTTCTACTGATCTTCTCATGCAGCATAGTTGGATTGAGTCTTGTATGATGTTTGGGTCAAGTGCAGGTCCAGTCTATAACAATGTGTGCAGAGTGTGAACACTTAAAAAACCAATAAACCGAGTTAACAGCCCATAACTCCAAATATATGAATGCTTTTCGATTACTCTTATGTCATTGATACACATTAAATCATGTCGGTTACTCTAAATGACTTTCTCCGGGAATTGATTTCCCTTAACTGCCCGGTGTGCTGCAGCCTGCCAGCTCTTGATGATTGAGTGTTTGACTATATGTCAATCGTGGAGTAATTGTCTTTCTTAAGCTACTATGTCGTTTACCCCTTAACTTCTATACATAACCTTCCAAATGAAAGTCATACATATACTCATGCCACAACGTTGAAACAAGGTTACGACAACAGAGGGGAAAGAGAATGTAGGCACCTGATTTTCTTTGATAACTCAGCTACCTGCTTAGATAGCTTATAAAAAGACCCACAAAATATATTCATCGTTACCGAATTATGAGTATAAATCATAAACAACAAACATCCATTACCCAAGTGCTCAACTATTAATGACTTCATCATTGTACACAACATGGATTTGTGTGTTTGTTGTCTGTGATTAATGTCTAACTATTTCACATATACCATCATAGCTGACTAGCATACAAATCAGAATGGTTTATACACATTAAAGTAATACCATGAATACTTGTACTTGCGATACTGTATTAGTGCTAATCATGAAAATGTTACCTAGCCACACATGTCAAAACTTGCATACAAAAACACGTAATGAATACCCGGCGTTCGTCGTCGATTTCAAAGTCTTTCCTCTTTGTTTTCAGCAAAGACAGGCTATAGCACACTTTAAAGGTTTGGAAACATGGTAAGAATCCATTCTTCCTTCGATCCTCCATTGTTAAACGTCTATCTCTTTGCATTCCAATTGTTGCAATTTCCACACCAATGCTAATCGATCATTAAAGTCGCGGTAAGACGGTTCAATCTCTCGGCGCGATGTTCTACAACTCAATAGTAATTTGGCTGAAACACAGTAGAGATATACATTATTATTCATGCTTTTCATCGAGCACCTGTGGTGCAAACCCGGACATGTCTTAGAGAAGTAAATCTCTTTCACTTTAGACAAGCTATTTGCAATTTAATAAGTATTTCTTCGGACACGTTAAGCACATGACATATACTGATATTCGGAAAAGCGCATATATTACTAAACAAATAACTTAGTGATCAGTTAATGCAACGTGTAAAGATTACTTATCTTCGAATGACTACATGATCACTCTTCGCCGGATTACCGGTTTATAATCACGGCCCGATGTCTAATATTGGCATATGTTGTTAACAGATCACAACCAGATTAGCAGTAAGACTATTTAGCTATTCAAAATAACCGCTGAATTATACCGAATCGTCAAACCGAATTGAAATAAAGTTAAAATAACTAAATCATTATTAATAGTTAATGAATAGAACTTATATTTTACTAATAATTATAGAACTTAAAAATTAAACAATTAATCAATTCCAAAATAATCATAAATCAAACCGTTATTATTTAAGTTTTAAAATTGATTTTTTTAAATAAAAAAAATCAAATTTTAAAAAAATTTAAAAATTAATTTTTTCAGAAAATCAAAAAGTTGATTTTTTCAAAAGTCAAAAGTCGGCTTTTACAAAAAATAAAAAGAGTTGATTTTTTCGAAAATTAAAAATTCGAGTTTTTTCAAAAAAAAAAAGTTGATTTTTCGAAAATCAAAAAATTAATTTTTTCGAAAATTAAAAAAGTCGATTTTCTTTTTAAAATCAAAGTTTCAATTTTTTCAAAAATCAAAAAGTTATTTTTTTCGAGAATCAAAAAGTCGATTTATTTGAAAAATTGAAAAAAGTCGATTTTTACGAAAAATAATAAAATCCAATTTTTTTTCCAAAAATAAAAAAAAATTATTTTTTCGAAAATCAAAAAGTCGATTTTTCCGAAAATCAAAATGTCGATTTTTTCGAAAGCCAAAAAGTCATTTTTTTCGAAAAATAAAAAAAGTTGATTTTTTCGAAAATTAAAAAGTGATTTTTTCGAAAATTAAAAAAAAAAGTCATTTTTTTTGAAAAAAGAGAGTTGATTTTTCGAAAATCAAAAACTCGATTTTTTCAAAAATTAAAAAAGTTTTTTTTTTAAATCAAAATTTCAATTTTTTCGAAAATCAAAGTCATTTTTTTCGAGAATCAAAAAGTCGAGTTATTCGAAAAATTAAAAAAAAAAGTCGATTTTTTCGAAAATCAAAACTAAAAATTTTCGAAAAATTAAAAAAGTAGATTTTTTTCAAAAATAAAAAAGTCGAATTTTTCGAAAATCAAAAAGTCGAATTTTTCAAAAATCAAAAAGTTGGTTTTTTTCGAATATCAAAAAGTCGATTTTTTTGAAAGTCAAAAAGTCAGTTTTTTCAAAAAATTTAAAAAGTCGAATTTTTCGAAAAAAATAATAAAAGTCGATTTTTTCGAAAATAAAAAAGTCGATATTTTTTCGAAAATCAAAAAGTCGGTTTTTTCGAAAATTAAAATGTCAGTTTTTTCGAAAGTCAAAAAGTCATTTTTTTCTTAAAAAAAATCAATTTTTTCGAAAATTAAAAAGACGATTTTTTCGATAATAAAAAAAAAGTCGATTTTTTTGAAAAAAAGAAGTTGATTTTTCGAAAATTAAAAAAGTCGATTATGTTTGGAAGATAACTTGCACAAGTTTCTTTGCTGAGAAGCAGTTTCCAAGAGAGAGAGAGAGATGTTGGAAGTTGGTACTTTTAAGATCTTCATCTTCTGAGTAAAAGCATTATCCAATGGAGTCTTTCTCAAGCATGGCGACCACAAGGATGTCGGGGCAAAGAAGTCGTGTCAAAATACCTTGAGCCTTGCACTAGGAACCCTAGTTGGCTTCTTTTTTCTTCCATAATCTAGCTTTTGACAAGATGGAGCTGTTTTTCACAGAGTGCATTTCAGAGGCGCAGTACTATGTTTCCAGTTCATCTAATTCTGAGTTGTCATTAGAAGTCGAGGTTCCAAGTGTTGATCAGATTATGATCCTTCAGAATCTGAGTCATTTTCTTCTCTTCATGAGCTACTTAACAGGATCACAATTAAGTTAATTCAGAGCTTAATAATCTTGCACACTTAAATAAATATTAGTATACCTAATTGTTCTTCAAGTACTTTGTTATCATCAAAACCCAAGGATTATGAAAAAAAAATTGTTTCAATAATTTCCCCCTTTTTGATTATGACAAACAAATGTATTTAAGAACAATGGTTGGACAGTTTAATTAACTTGACAACATCAGAGTCTGAGGTTTGTAAGCTCCACCTGAGTCTAATAGTCCAAAGGTTGAGTTTTGTAAGCTCCCTCTAAGTCTTATTCAAGTTATTTAACTTATTTTGATTTAAAATAATCAATAAAATTAAGCACATAAATATTTGTTACTTTATATTTGTTTTCAAGTGCTAATAAAAACATCCAAAACATGTTTTCATTAAACTCTTTAAATACTCCCATATTTCTCCCTCTTTTGTCGTCAACAAAAAATAAATAAAAAATAGAGAGAGAAAAAGATACTGAACAGTACTCCATGCGTTAATGACTATTGGTGTTTAAACTTCCAAGAATCAAAGATAAAAACACACAACAAGATTAATCTTTCAACGGGCCACTATAAAAGCATACCTCCTTCATTTAAAAAGCCACACAAAACTTCTTCCAACTTCTTCTAAATAATAAATGAGCACTTTTATCAAGAACTCCAAGACCTCAATTACTTCAGAGGTTATCGTGGTCAAGGAGACCAAAGTTGTGAAAAAAAGCATTGATCAGAGGCATAAAGAAATCAAGACCTCTGAAGCAAGCTCAAATTTAGAAGCTTTGAAGCCTAAGGAAGCTCCAAAGGCAACAAAGAAGAGGAAGTCAAGGAATAGGAGGCCAACAAAAGAGTTTTATGTTTGATTTAGACGATGAAGATGAGCAGGATTATGACTGGGGAAACTTTATGAAGGCAAACGTTGGAGATTTAATTTGTAGGGTTTTGTATCTGATTGTAATCTCCTTTTAAAGAAATGAAAGATTAATTTCCTTTTCCATTAGCATGCATGAAGTTCTTCTTACACAACTTTTTCACGAATTTTTTTACATAAAATAAGCACAGAAAACGACAAAAAATGTATGGGATTTAAAATATTTTTTAGTAAATATGTTAATAAACAATCTTAACTCACAGAATCCAAGGAGATTATGACCTAAAAGCACAAATTCATCTTCTAGTACAATCAAATTGATTTCTACAAATAAAGCACAAAAGTAGGAACCAATGATGAGTGTTTGAAAAGGACTACCAAACCAACTTATTTTTAAAAACTGATTGGTGCATAAAAAATAAGAAAAATAATATGTTATTTTAAACATGCTGATAAAAACAAGCTTTCCATAATACAAGAAAGACACACCTCAAAAATAGTAGCTTATGAAAGACTTTTAATTTCTTTTGCAGTAAATAATGACATCACTCTTTATCAGATGGATGTTAAAAGTGCATTTTTAAATGGTTACATTGATGAAGAAGTTTATGTGCACCAACCCCCTGGTTTTGAAAATTCAAAACATTCAGATTATGTCTATAAACTTAAGAAATCGCTATATGGTTTGAAACAAGCTCTCAGAGATTGGTATGAAAGACTAAGTAACTTTCTCTTAGAAAATAATTTTACCAGAGGGAAGGTGGACACCACTTTATTCTGTAAACTATTTAAAAGTGACATTCTGGTTTATCAAATTTACATAGATGATATCATTTTTGGATCTACTAAAGCCGCTCTAGGAAGAGAATTTGCTAAATTTATGCAGACAGAATTTGAAATAAGTTTGATGGGAGAACTCAAGTTCTTTCTGGGTATCCAAATCAATCAAACTCTGGAAAGAACCTACATACATCAAAACAAGTATGTCAAAGAACTTCTGAAGAAATTTGACTTGTCAGAATGTAAGCCAACCAAAACTCCTATGCATCCCACATGCGTTCTGGAAAAGGAAGAGGTAAGTAAGAAGGTAGAACAGAAGACCTACATAGGTATCATTGGTTCTCTCTTATATTTAACATCTTGAAGACCTGATATTCTGTATAGTGTCTGTCTTGGTTCTAGATTCCAGATCCTAGAGAATCTCACTTAACAGTTGTTAAGCAAATTTTCAAGTATCTGAAAGGTACTACTAATCTTGGTCTTTGTTATAGAAAAACCAAAGAATACAAATTAGTAGGGTACTATGATGTTGACTTTGCTGGAGACAGAATAGAAAGGAAAAGTACTTCTTTAAGCAGCCAATTTTTGGGAGACAATCTAATCTTGTGGTCCAACAAGAGGCAATCCACCATTGCATTATCAACTGCTGAAGCTGAATACATAGCAGAAGCTGGATACAGCACACAAATGCTCTGGATGAAAAGCCAACTCGAAGACTTCAACATATATGAGAGTAAAATTCCTATTCTCTATGAAAATGCTTCTGCTATATGTCTTTCAAAAAAATCTCATTTTACATTCTAGGGCTAAGTATATAGAAATTAAACATCATTTTATTATGGACTATATTCAGAAAGGAATTGTTTCATTAAAATTCATAGACACTGACCATCAATAGGTTGATGTTTTCACTAAACCCCTTTCTGAAGATATGTTTAATTTCATTTAAAAACATCTCAGCATGAAATTATACCCAGAATGATAGTTTTGTTTATGTATATGTTAACCCTCAGAACTTTATGCCTTTATTTTTTGTGTGAACATATGATCAATAGTTCTTCAGAAGTAAGAAGGAAATTTGTATCATGATGTATCTAAGAAGATATGAACATTCTCCAAACAGTTC